GGGCCCGACGGGGGTGGCGGCCTGCCGCGGCCCGGCGAAGAAGGCGTTGCGCTTGCATGGTGGTGAAGGGCTCGGGGGCAGGGATGGGATGGGATGGGATGGGAGCGCGTCTGTTGTAGCCGTGCCAGCAGGCTTGTTTTGTTTTTTTTTTTTCTAGGGTATTTCAAAACCTGCATCTGGGGTTGAGGTCCACCTTTGCCAATGACACGGGAGGGGGGAGGAGAGCAGTCAGGGCTGTAACCTGATCCTTGCAGCTCCTCGGGGTCTCTCTGAAACCGCGCTGAATTCCCCTGGCTGGGCTTGGCACGGAGCAGAGCCCAGAGGCCTCGGGAAGGGCTGTCTGGCGCGCGTTGGCCGTGAGGCTGGAGACGGGCTGCTCCTGAGCACCTTGTGTGGGGGGCTGGAGCTGAGGGTGTGGAAGGAAATGATTCACCCGTCCATCAGCTCCGGCTTTGCCCTGTGCTCGCAGAGAGCCTGGCTCCGTGGTGGGTTAGTAAGGAGGCCACGTGCTTTACTGACACGCTGCTTCTGCTTGCGTTTGCAGGATGTGATTAAGGTGTCTAAGCAATACCTCCAGGGCATGGCGGTGGGGTACTCCAGCCCAAAGCTGACCCTGCGCATCGGTGATGGCTTTGAGTTCATGCAGCAGAACCAAGAAGCCTTTGATGTGATTATCACAGACTCCTCCGACCCTGTGGGTAAGATCCCAGATGACTCGCGGTGCCATCACGCAGGCTCTCCGTCCTCTTCCTCAGGCCTGTCTGTCATCTCCTCTTGTGCCACCTCCAGGCAGTGCTCCTTTGCCACAGCTCTTCTCTGTCCTTTTCCATCCTGATGACACAAGGCTTCCGCTGACTTTGGTTCCTCGGGTGGGGAACGTACCGAGTGGGGCAAGTGCACGCAAACACCGGAGCTGTTCTTTCCTCTGTGTGTTCGGCCCCTGGGGTGTGGGATGGAGTATCAGAACACTTCATTTGCTGGACCAAGAATGAGACCTCCAGCCAGCTGTCCATCCTGACTCCCGCTCTGAGCACTGTGTCCCAGCGCCAGGAGCTGATCTCGGTGTCACCTGCAGTCACTCGCCGATTTTAGGATTGGAGGGATCCTCCCCACCTCCGCAGCGTTCCAGCCCTTGAAGCAGGCTCCCCCAGTTCCCTAAGAAGAGGGCTGGTATTGCACCATACACTGCCAAAATGATCCTCCTCCCCCACCCCACCCCATCCCACTTCCTCAAGGCAGCGTGCCAGGCAGTCAGGCTGGGATGCCTGCAGTTCAAAACCCTTTCCTTGCTGTAGGGTTGAGGCTTCACCCAGCACCAAATCTGGGGGTTCAGAAGCCAGCTAGGGCAGTCATGGATACACAGGGGGATAGTCAGGGCCATGAGTCATCTCTGACTTTTTGCCCCCAGGTCCTGCCGAGAGCTTGTTCAAAGAATCCTACTACGAGCTGATGAAGACAGCTCTGCGAAAGGATGGCATCCTCTGCTGCCAAGGTGAGACCAGGCAGGAGATTCCTCACCTGAATGGAGACCAGTCCGTGCGTAGCAAATCGATCACTGTGCAAATGGGGGGTTGGCTAGTGAGGGCACTGGCTTCTGGGGACACAGCTGCATGATGCTAGCGACATGGAGCATAATCTGTGGCTCGTTGCTGGGATTAGAGGGAGTTTCATAGTAGTTTGGGGTCAGAAGGGACCTGAACAGATCATCTAGTCTGACCCTCAAAGCAGTTCTAAGCAGCAAGGTGCAGATCAGCTATTCCCTGGGTCTCAGTGGATCTCGGTCTGGTCTGGTTTTTCATGAAGCTGCCAGCAGCCCAAATCCTTAGGTCTGATGCTCTCTGCAACAGTGACGGTCTGTCTAATGCCCCGCCTGCTCCATAGTAAAGTGCCCTGCAGTCCTGTGTGTTTGTCTTTGCCACTGCTGGCACATGAGGCTAGGCTGTTATCCTCATTGTAGCAATGGGGGAATGGACTAAGCACCCTGCTTGTGGTCGCTCAGGAAGTCTGACGCAGCACAGTTGCAGCCAGGGGTCAGGTAGCTGTGTGAGCAGGGAAGGAAGCTCGGTGAACTGAGGTCCTGTTCTAACTAGGGTGACCATGTGGGGAACTTGGGACACTGCCGCTACCACTGGTATTACTATTTGAGCAGGTAAGGAGTCAGTGGCTCATTAATAACCCATTTTTTTCTTCACAGGGGTTAACAATCCCACTTTCAATGGTCATTCCACTAATCAAGCTAACCTACAAACACAATTTTGCTGTCTGATAGGACTTTCTGTTTCATAACTCCTGCCACTGGGCCTCCTTACCCAGGATTCTTGTTTTAATTTTCAGTGGACTGGCCTTTGAAATCTGGGGCTATCCCAGCCAGTCCAAGATATATGGTCACCCTACTTGCTTGCAGACGTGGGGGGGAGGGGAGGAATGTGCTTTACTTTAAACTTGGCGCCCACACCAAACCCAACACACGCCCAGAAAATGCAGTGCGTTAGATGGACCCGGCTTTCCCAATGTCTGTATAAATTGGGCGTTTTAGTGGCGGGGTTTTGGCACTTGTATGTAGATTTGCTGCTTGAGATAAGCACCGAAAAGCCCCAGTGAAGCACCCGATCTATACAGACACTACAGAGTCGGGTCAAAGTAATGCGCTGCTGCTCCTGGTAAAGTGTGGGTTTTTGCGGGGGGCTTTTCCCCACTTCTGTCAGTGCAAATTATAATTGACTTGGCCTGGGCCTGTAGATCTTGTCCCCACTTGACTGAGGGCTGTACCTTACATATGTTTTCATCACCAGCCACAGCCTCAGGGGGGGCAGCAAAGAGCCAAGGCTGGGGAGAGCATTGTCCTGACACACTGGAAAACAACTTTCCATAACTCTGTGAAATGTCTTGGAGTCTGCCTGTGCTTTTGCGGTGCCCTTCCCCAGCACCTGCCTTTGGACCCCCAACAGCCTGGGTCTGCTGATGAAAATCGCAGGAGCAGTAGCACTGTAAAGCGCAGAGCCCAGATGTCACCTTGATTCCTCTCAGCTCAAAGCTGGAGGTGGCGATGAGCTGCTCTGAGGTCCTTCTTTCCCTGCGTAGGCGAGTGCCAGTGGCTGCATCTGGATCTCATTAAGGAGATGCGTCAGTTCTGCAAGTCTCTGTTCCCTGTGGTGGAGTACGCCTATTGCACAATCCCTACCTACCCCAGCGGGCAGATTGGCTTCATGCTGTGCAGTAAGAATCCAGTGAGTATCTGAATTCCCCCTGCCACCTGCTCATGTCACCCATGTGATGCTCAACCGTGGGCTTTGTCCTGTGCTGGCCACTACAAGTCCGGGGCCCAGCAGCTGTGATCCAGCGCTCTTGGCCCTGGCCCAGCACTGACAGCAGCATGACCGCACACTGGCACGTGCCAACATTGGGACGGCAGGAAAATGTTGAGTGTCTGGTATTACACAGGCTTCTTTTAGAGGCCCAGGCCAGACCCAGGAAGGCCACCCCAAGCAGTGAAGGGAGAGGCCAGTCTCCACAGCTCATTCAAGCCCTGCCCTTGATTGCTGGGTGTTACAATGAAGACCCTTGTGTGCCAGGAGACCAAATGCTTTGCAGGCATATCCCCAGTCACTGCATGTAAACAGCAGGGTTGGATTTGAACTGCTGACTTGGAAGGGAAAGGATATTTATCTATTACCAGGCCTTAATCCA